TCTGACGTGGCTGAGAGCCCAGTCACCCATAGCGCAGGCAAATCCTCCGGTGAAGAAAAGGGAAAATATGTTGAAAGCAATCTATGGAGGGTGGCATCACTGGAACAGATGCAACAAAGATGGAGAAACTGGGAGAATGGAAATACGTCCTGAAGTGAACTGGGGTGTGAGGAACTACAGTCAAAGTACCTTTGGGAGTCGGTTGATCTGTAATTGATATTAGTGAATGGGCACTATTTTCCAGCCTCTTTCAGTTGTGAAGAGGAGTTACAGTGGATTCCAAATGTTAAATTTGTTTGTCCCTCCACGGTCCTGCTTTGTCTATCCAGCACTTTCCATTATTATTCCCAATTTATCTCAATCTTTCTCCTTTGTTTCTTGCTTCTTTCTTGACTGGATCAACTATATGAAAGCTACATATTTATGTTTCACATCTGCATGAACAACCGTGCAGCTGACTGTGGGTAATTTTGACTATAGACAACACCCTTTACCAATCTTTATTGCCAGTGAAGCAATTTAGAAGAGGTGTTTAACAGGTGAAGGAAAAATATTGTGTTTTGCATTTCTATCAGAAGTCAACCCATGAAACACATGCTACATCATCACAGGGAGGGAAATGTCATATGACCTTGCGCTCTCTTGAAATCTTGTGGCAAGATGAAGCTGCAGTAAAATGTTTCCTTCGTATTAACCTTTAAATATCAACATTTCTTTCATTCAGAAGGCTCCTTGAATATTCTTCAGCAATGCAATGAAGCCAAGGATCTTGTACCCTTATCCACCTTAGATGGAATATCTGGGAGTTTGTCAAAAATACACTCATATCGAAATGTTATCACAATATAGTGCTACAGAAAAGACAAGCGCTTGGAAACAGACATATCCCAATTTTGAACACTTGCTTGGTTGAATTGGAAGGAAAGAAAGTCAAGTCGATTTGCATTCACTGCTGAAACCTCATCAGCCATCATTTTTACCCTGAAGCTGACTGTGGTGCAAACACTCTGCAATTAGGCTTACCAACAGTGATTATATGTCGTCCTGGAGAATTAATCACATGACTTGCCCCAGATTCCAGCTATTTGGCTAACACATCCACAGATAAGGCAAACCAGGGCAGGAATTATATACAGTTAATGTTTGGGCTGTGGGAGTGTTGCCGAACAAATAGACCTAGGGGGAACTGGTGCATTGTTCCTTGAAGTTGGAGTCGCAGGTAGATAGGATGGTGAAGAGGGCATTTGGCATGCTTGCCTTCATTGGTCAGTGCACCACTATAGGAGTTGGGACGTCATGTTGCGGGTGTACAAAGCATTGGTGAGGCCACTTTTGGAAGACTGCGTATTCATTTCTGGTCTCCTTGCTACAGGAAAGATGTTGTTAAACTCGAAAGGGTTCAGAGAAGATTTACAAGGATGTGGCCAGGATTGGAGGGTTTGTGCTCTAGGGAGAGGCTGAATAGACTGGGACTTTTTTCCCTGGTATGTAGGAGGCTGATGAGTGACCTTATTGAGGTTTATAAAATCATGAGGGCATAGATCGGCTGAATGGCAATGGTCTTTTCCCCAGGGTAGGGGAGTCCAAAACTAGAGGGCATAGGTTTAAGGTGAGAGGGGAAGGATTTAAGAAGGACCTGAGGGGCAACCTTTTCATGCAGAGGATGATACATGTTTGGAATGAACTGCCAGAGGAAGTGATAGAAGCAGGTTCAATTAGAACATTCAAAGACATCTGGATGGGTATGGGATAGGATGACTTTTCAGGGATATGGGCCAACTGCTGGCAAATGGGAGTAGATCAGTTTAGAACATATGGTTGGTGCGTACGAGTTGCACTGAGGGCCTGTTTCTGTGCTGTATAACTCTATGACTTGATGACTCTAAAAGGCCTCAGTATGCCAATTGGAAAGCAAGAAAACTTATCACACAACTGAGTATCTGCCAAGCAGCCATTTGTTTCCTATTTTCAATAATTTTATATCTCTACAAAAAGAAATGTTAGAAGAAAATTACAAATTAAGAAAATCATTTTTACTTTCACCATGCTTATCCTTTAGGATTTCACAAACTTGTTTTGAAAATGAGTCATACCAGACTCGAAACGTTAAGTCTATTTCTATCACACCAGATGGCCCCACACCTGCCGAGTTCTTCGAGTCTTCCAGCTTCCTGAGTAGTTTGCTTTAATCGCACACAATAACGTCCCTCAGATTGATCCTTAATTCCTGGAGTCTCCAGACCAATCATGCAGGGTTGGCAAACCCACAGTCCGTTAAGTCAGGACTCCCATCCAGCCATAAAACCGCTGAATAAAACTTAGCAAGAATTAGCCTAGATTTGTTTTTGTCAAATTTCGTGAAGGGTTTCTTTCTGTGAGGCTGAACACTTTTTCTTGTGCTATCTTCCCAGACTCACCTCATTAACTGTGCACCACATGCCCTGGTACTCCATTGGTCCTATTTCCCCACTTGTTACAGGTGGAAGTACCAGCCACTGCCAGGACCTCCCAGGATTCCTGGTGCTGGTGCCATTTTTAAAGCCTAGCCATGCACATGGTCAGGTGCAGGCATTTTACTTTGCTCTGGACATGTCAGACATTGAGTCATTGGAATCCCACTTTGCTGACAGGAACCTGGAGGTCCTGCTGGCCTGGCTATGCCTGTTGTCGCTACCCATGGAGTGTGCCCTGAGATGTTGGTGTTGGATGGAGGATCAGTGAAGGAGCAAGCTGGAGCCACCAGGTTATCGCTCTGACCGTCATGTCTGAATTATCTCCGTCCATTTTCTATCTGGTGGGTGGGAGAATGGGTAATTGCATATCAAAAAAGAGAGAAGACATAACAATGAGGATGTTAATGCATGCAAATCGGCCTTCTGCAGCCCACGATTGAGAATCTCATCTAGCTGTTCAACATTTAGTTGAAAAATGGGACTTAGTGTTCTCGACAGTGAGAAGCTAGTTACTGGTCTTCTCACCCAATTTTGCCAACTTTCTAATCAGGGCCCATGCTATTCAAGGGCTGGAAAGTCTCTCTCATTAGTGTTAAATGGTTTTACAAACTGACTTCCATGGCAGTAAATTTGTAGTTGAAGGGTCACTCCCTCACAGGCACTCAGTTCATTCAAATCCATGTGCTGTTCAAAGTCGTGCAGTTTCATGTGGTTTCTAAACTTCCAGATTGCATTTTTGGATTTTCTCCCCTTCCCTGTCCTTATAAGTATCTTCTCACCTGGAGCTGCTTCTGCTCTGCTGCTTTGAATGAGCTAACAACTGGAGGAAGAGGACCATCGGTATCTGCCTAAATTACCTGGAGATAAGCGGCAGATAGGCTGAATAAGACAGGAGATGAACAGTAGTCTACTAGATCTATCAGCCAAGAAATATTTTCTTAGATATTTCTGAAGCAGTGCTAGAGAAGAATTCATTTCACCAGGCTATGACTGACCTTTTCAATCTCATGAGGCAGGACCCATTGCCTGCTGGGCGAGTGACCATGTTTTACCAGTGGCTATCAAAGTCACACATGTGGAACTGTTTTCCCATTGGATCCTTCCAGATTGCTGGAGGGGACATGATATAACAGTATTAAGTAATGTTGCGTTCTGCACATCAGAAGCTCAACTAGCAGCTTGTGTAAATGAAGTCCACTTGATCAATGTGTAACTGATATTTAATCAGCACAAAAAGGAAGACTGGAATGATGGTATTTTCCCACATGAATGACTTCCCCTGGCACCTTGTGGCTTTTGTCGTCTCTACCAGTGTGTGGTCCTGTGGAAGGGTTCGGAGATAGTTCATTGTCACTAATCCTTCTTTTCTTGAGCCTATCTCATGAAAAGTGGCAAAAGAAACACCACTGCAGAGCGTGTAACGAAAAGGCACTGTTCTTAGATAACAGGTTTTATTGCATGATAGTTGCGAGCACAACTACATTTCTCAGGCATAATGACTAGGACTTTGAGGAGCTGGTCCAGATACATCTGCTTCTTCTGAAAGCTTGAGTGGAGCTGCCAAGAGCCAAATGTCACCTCTATCAGAAAAGCAAAATGGAATTATGTGCCTCAGTCCTTCAGGGCCTTCCCCACCTCTCTGTCAATGTTGAAGCCATTATTTCAGTGAGTGCCAGGGAATCTATGAAACATACTCAAAGAGGGTGAAGAAGGTGTTTACCATTGACTTTTTCAGGTGCACATGAGATTATTTTCAATCAGAGGAAACATGTTTGGACACAGTATCTGAGAAATTTGTTACACAGTAAGTGGTAAGCGTACTACTGGGACTAACAAGAGACTTTGAATCTATGTTTCCCAAAGCTGTGCACCACTCTAATTTTCCTCATGTTGTCTAGCTCTGCATAGCCTAATTGCAGGAGAGTAATTCATTAACAACTCCATTGGTATCTTGTCATGCAACCATCAGGGAACATCAACTTGATGTGCTCAATTAGTGCTGGGATCCATTATTTCTGGTGACTGATGGTGGAGTTGGACCAGCATGATCTTTTGGTTCTATTGTTCACAAGGTCAACAAAGACCATCCAAATGAAGTCTTGTTTGCAATTACAGTTTTCATTCTGAAATGGCCAGATCTTACAGTCAGATTTCAATTTCATGCTCTACACAGACTTCTCAAATGTAACAGATGATAAGTTCAAGGCTTTCTTGCCTGGTTGACATAAAAATCCACTGACTTAAAATTGATTTGGAATTAAAAATCTGATCCATGGTTTCTTGTAAATAGCAGAGCAAGTGATACCAGGGTGTTACAAGAGTTAAATGTATTCAAGGTGGAAGTGTTTGGACTTTGTGTTTGTTCAGTAGGATAAGGATTCACTGTATTTACTATAGCAATAGTTTTTGAGGCACATTCAAGCACAGGAGTGATAGATATCTTTGCAGTGTAGTCTATATTGTAAAGGTAATTCTCAGGATGGTGAAGATCACATGATAAGTGATGCTAATGCAATTACTGACTAAATCTCTGTCATGTACCCCCAGGCCTTCGGCTGCATTGATCAAAACCGTGATGGAATCATCAGTAAACAGGACTTGAGGGAAACCTTTATGCAGCTGGGTAAGTGAATTGGTCTGCCAGTTCTTGCTACTAATCTCCAGCTATTGGCTGTCCAATGGTTTCAAAGTATTACAGGCATTATGTGATTTTTTACACATTTATGAAAAGATATGATGATATTTTCTCATCAACTTGTTCAGAGATGTTGGGACGTACCTCCAGAACTGGTAGGACTTGAACCCAGGTCTCCTGGGATATGGGTAGGCACTCTATCATTGCACCAGAGGAGTCCTGACCAGTGATGTCAGTCTCAAAGTGTTTACCGAGATGAGTGATGTCAGGGATTCAATATTCCTGGCTGGAGAGACAGGCTTTGATGCAAAAGTGCTGCAATTGGTCAATGGCCTTCATGGCTGATGCTACCTGGTTTCTAACCCCACAGACCAATCCAATTTCTCCAAGAGGACACTGAACCATTTGTTCAAAAAAACAGATGGAAATGCTGTTTGAAAATGATATGAATATTAATGTGTTTGAAAATATTTATAGGTAAGTTGAATACCAATGATGAAGAATTGGAAGCGATGTTGAAAGAGGGAAAGGGACCAATGAACTTTACAGTGTTCCTCAGTCTCTTTGGAGAAAAACTGAATGGTAAGGACAAGACAGCATGCTGACAGCAATTGGTTATTCAATAATCTTATTTATGTATGTGATGAATCTCAATTCAAATTGTTTCATGTCTGATGGTACAGTGGTGATGGAACCCATATTTGGAAGATCTCTTGCATCTGAGTCAGAAGGTTGTTGAATCTGATTCCAGTTCAGGTAGTTGGGCACAAAATCGAGGCCGGCACTCCAATGCAGGACTGGGAGCGTGCACTATCAGAGATGCCAACTTTTGAATCAAGTGTTAAAGTGAAACTCTCTGTGCTCTTTCAAGTGCACCTAAATGGCACTACTTTTAAGAAAAGCAGCGTTGTTCTCACCTGCAATGTCACCGTTATTTGTATCTCAACCAACATCACTCAAACACAAAATTTGTGGGACCGTGCTGAGTGTAAATTGGCTGCTGCATTTCCTGAATCAGAACACTTATTGCACTGTTTTAAAAACACTTGTTTGGCTGTGAAGTGTTTTGAGATGTTCTTATGGGTGTAACTGCAAGTCTTTCTTTCTACTTTCAATGCCACATCATATAATTTCAACTATTCCAGCCCAAATGCCGGTGCTAGCAATAGCAATTGGTTTGAAGCTTATTTTATCTCGGCAGGGACTGACCCAGAAGAAACTATTGTGAACGCCTTCAAACTGTTTGATCCACAAGGAACAGGGCATGTCAAGAAGGATGAGTGAGTTACAAAGTCATTTAAATAGTGAGATAGAAGTCACCTGAAAATGTTGCATGAGGATGTACTTTTAGTATTTCAGCTGACATCTTCATCCTGTAAATTTCTTAATTTTCAACATAATGTGATTAGCACCAGAGCTTCTTGATACAGGCTGCATACTGACAGTGTGAACATAAATCAGTCAAGCCAATTGCTTACTTTTCTGACGGTTATGCTCTTAGATGTTTTGCTTCTACAAGTTTTTTTCACACCTCTTGAGTTGGAAGTACTGACACCGTGTAGAGACAGATGTTGTATTGTTCATGATTACACTTGTCTGCGTGTGCAGTGCTTTAGAATAAAATGCTTTGGAGTACAGCTGCAGAAAGTTATATTAGTACTTGAGTAATCTAGAGGCGTGGGCTGATGATCCGAAGACGTAACTTTTGCAAGTTGACAATTGGGCAATTTAATTTCAGACAATTTGGAAACGAAAAGCCAGGATCTTTATTGGTGACCTTAGAGATCCTAACACACAAGATGGTGTAGTATCCTGAAGATGTGAAAAGTGCTGTTGAACTGCATGCTACATTGTTCAAATCACTGACAGAGGATAAAGAAAAGGCTGATTAGATTTCATGCAATTGAACTAATGATGGATTAAATGAAGATAATTCCATACCATTAGGTTCAATCCATTTATCATCTAATTTGGCAAAAACATTAAAATCTTGCTCCTTAACTTTAGGTATGTTTTCTTCCTGCTTTCATAGATTTAAGAGACTCCTGATGACACAAGCTGATAAATTCAGTGCAGATGAGGTGAGATTTTGCTGTCTAAATGTAAACAATGTAAAACATTTAAGATACTTCATATTCAAAAGCTTTCTCAGTTAGACTTTGGGAAGAAGCAAACCCATCGCACAGTTGTACTTGAGGTGGAACTAAACCCTTCAGGGAACAGGATTATTCCAGGGAAAATTAACTGCCCACAAGGTGGGGCAGCAACTTGTGGAATGCAAATTTTTACTGAGTATAGCTGTCTCATAGATGATTGCTCCTTCACGGAGTAAAAGTCTCTGTCCCGCTAACTCCGAGTTATATAAATTCTTTGCCCGAGCAACTTCACGGCATTAAACTCTTTGTCTGGTGACTGACGCTTACCCAAGTGGAGATGGACGGTTGAGAGGAGAAATAAAAGGGGGAATAACAAAACACGAGGGATCTGTCAGAGTAGATCAGGAAAACTGTTCCCATTGGGGGAAGCATCAGGAACCGCAGGGTACAAATTGGTAAATGAAGCAGTGAAGACATGAGGAGAAACTTTTGCATGCAGCAGGTGTTTGGGATCCAGAAGGCACTACCTGAGAGTATGGTGGAGGCAGATTCAACCAAGGCATGATGCAATCAATCAAAGCCAATAAGATTATGATCTGAGATGAAACAATGTGCGAGGCTCTGAGAAGGAGGCTAGTGAGGGGCACAAAGTAAAACTTGCTCATCCAGAGAGCTAGCACAGATGCAATGGACTGAATATTCTCCTTCTGAATATTATTGTGCTCAGCCGCACAGACGGGAAAGTCAAGATTTAATTCCTAGTCTAGATATTTTCTAATCAACCTGGTTAGAGATGTTATCACTTGAACCTGGGCTTCCTGGCTCACAGATAGGTACACAACTCCTACACCACAAGAGCTTCTAATATTTCCCTTCTGTGCTGTTAGCATTCTGTGACTCTGGGTGGTTATCTAATTCTTAGGAAACAGGGCTATCAATCGCTGGTTCTCTAACTGGTGAAGACTAATTGTTCACTTGGTGTTTCTCTAACCAAAACTGAATAAACCTGGGGTGTCAGGCATGAAGAATTTCCTGAAATTGAAAGGGATAAGGAAAGTAGGGTTGGAAAGCACAGAGTTTAGGACTTTGTTGTGGTTTTATGAAACTATAATTTATTCATGATCATCAAAAGAAATTTATTGTACCAAGGGCATTTGAAAACCAAACAAATTATTTAGTTTCCTATATGTGTGTGACCCTGGCAGCCATCTGATCTGGTGTTGCATGCTCATTGCTTTAATAATCTCTATTCCTGTCCTTTTCTCCCCACAGGTAGAACAGATGTTTGCTGTGACTCCCATTGATGTTGCAGGAAACATTGATTATAAATCACTGTGTTATATCATCACACATGGAGATGAGAAAGAAGACGCCTAGTTTGAATGTTGTTGGTGTCTGGCTTCTGCAGTCATCAATGAAAAATCAGTGATAATGATCATTGTGAATCAGTGCTAAATAAAACATGGCTACTCAAAATAGACAACTTATCCTTCAATGTTCAGCTAAGCACAACTGCTCATATCAGATTGTCAAGCTCACTCTTGTACTAGCTCACGGCCACTATTAAATCGTTTATTTCATGCCATTTTGACACCTTCTTCTCTTGTTGTGAAATTGTTGGCTTCTCATTGGAATACACTCCTATGATTCAATGATTATGGGTTTTTGTCCATGATTCTTGAGATTGTGGATGCTGACTGGATATGAGGCGTGAGCCTGGCCACACACATATGCACACTTCAGTGGGAGACATGTTATAATAATGAGACAGGAACCAGTCTGACTTTTCCCTCCAGAACCTTGCACATCGAATGGTATTTGGCACAGACTGTATCGAAGCTGGGATCTTCTTGTTCCACGTGACTCAGTGACTGACTGAATAAACACCCTGTATCATTGGCCAAGCAAATCTACTTTTCTTTCAATGGCTTGATCATACTCAGGCAAACTTGCCTCGGTAACAACTGGCACTCAGTTTGCACTTTCGGGTTCCTCAGGCTGTTTCTCCATTTTTATTTTCAAATATGTCGTGTCACTGCGATTCCATGGAAAGATTCAACAATAAAATCAATTGACTCAATGTCTTTGATAAAGTTAATGTCGTCATTTGTGTGTGTGTATGTGTGTGTGTGTGTGTGTGTGTGGAGGTGGGGGGGAGGGGAGTACTTTTGGTCTCGGGCACTCGAATTCTTCACTTCCTGTGATCATAGTCAGTCTGGGGTCTGTCCACCCAAAGTGAAGGGTGTATTTAATCAGGGGCTACTTCTGTTGGAGGGAAACCGATGTATTTAATTCTGGCAATTCAAAGTAGGAGAAGGGAAAGTAATTGTGAAGGGAGAGGGAAACTCAACATATAATGAAGGGGAATGTTTAAGGACATGGGTTACTTCAGGAGCAATGGAACATTGATGGTTGTCACTACGACAGCCTGTCATGTTCAGTGAAATATTTGTTTGAATAACACCCAGTTGTGTCTTTTCAAGATCTTATGTACATGCGAGGTTCTGTTCTTGCTGTCTCACTTCTTCCTAACGAATAAATTAACAGTCGGTGACTTTGACAACTTCTGGCAGGATTGAAATTCACCCCTGAATCCCAGTCAATCTGCTCCCTTTGCTTCAGCATGAGGTTGAAGTTGCACTATCATAGAATTGTCTTCCGGTTTGCATATCTTGAAAAGCTGTACAGTGCAGCACGATGTTTGGCATGACTATGCTGTTGGGCCAGGAATCAGTGGGTCATGTTGATAGGAAGGCATCGTTCAGAGTGGTGTGTGGGAACATTTGGAAGCTTGGTACTGAAGTCAATAGGGAATGCTCTAAAGAAAGGCACACTGCTTCGTTGGGAGGACCCTTAACAGCCAGGCTGAGCATCTGACTCAAGCATGACCTGTGTTGACTTCCATTCCCATGCACATAGGAAAATCGAAAACAGCTGCAACTACCCTAGGAGTGGGCAGAGTGTTTTATTTTCTTTCTGAGCATGTGGGCTTAACCTGTGAGTGACATGAGGCCCTTCAAGGAGCAATTATATTAATCAAGCATTTTCATAGTCCACACTGAAGTCATCAGTAATCATTGTATCATGCGTGTGAAATACATGCAGTGTCCAACTGTGAGGTGCAAATCCTGGTTATAAGGCAATTTGACAGTGCTGTTGGTCATTGCTGATTGAAGATTTACATCTCTGCAGACTTTAAAAGTGGCAGCTGTGTGCCACAATTCACAAAGACAATGCAAGATCTGGAGGCTGCACAAAAGCACAGAACTAATTTCCTTGTTGTGGTAGGAATGGGGAACAGTTCTTGTTCCACCTTAAAATATTGCATAATTTATTTTTAAAATTACATTACAAATGTCTCGCACTACATCCAGGGATGAGAAGTCCTGTTGCTGTTCCAACTACGAGAGTGGACTGCTTCCAGAGAGTACACAAGGTGCAGAGCTGGATGAACACAGCAGGCCAAGCAGCATCAGAGGAGCAAGAAGGCTGATGTTTCGGGCCTAG